TATATATATATATATATTTACACATTTTTTAAGGATCCAGATCAGAGGCTTATATATATATATAGTTCAAATTAATAACCTTCGTTTCCATATGGTTGCACAGGTGGGACTGTAAAGAGAAATGAAATTTGTCATCAGTTAGTTTTATTATAAACCTCTACTTGTTTATTTGTATTGGAATACCTTTGATTAAGTGTTTCCTGAATTAACTATATATTAATAATATGTAATTGATGTGCTTGTCAGGGAAAAGTACCACTTTTCTTGGGAGACACCTATTCCAGAAACCAGTAAGTTGAAAGAAGACGATGTTACAAAGTTTGTAGAGAGCATCAAGCCAGTAGTTTTGTTATCTATGTTTAGTAAGGCAGGTAGTACTGATTCTGCTGCTGCACTACAAAATCTTGCTACTGTTCGACCAGAAATTGTGATACCTCCAGTTTTAGATCGGTGAGTTGAAATTCTTAGACAAACCTTTTCTTTGGAGAATATAGAGATATTGACACTTTATTTATTTTTGAAGTTAATATCAGAAAATCAACTGGCTATTAAACTTCTTTTTTTTAAATAAAACCAAAACCATTGCTTGAAAACCATGGCATATAAACAACATTCAAGATGAATATTATTAATTGTAGATGTGTTTAAAGATCTCGAGATAATGCTAAAATGTATTTGTTTTTCCAGTTTATACTGAATTTGTAGTTATTCATACATCAGATAATGTAACAAGTTTCCTGTTTTATGTAAGAATTAACTTAGTGGTTCCATTTACATTTGTCAATGTGCTTTGTTTTAGGTATTTTGTAGAAAATGCTAATTATTCCGCGATGGTTTTGAGCAGTGAATTTTATTAGTCAGAAATTAATAACGTGTTAATACTTATTTCCTAACTACTTCAATAAACAATTTAGCAACATAAAACTTACAGTTTAAATTGAAAATGAATTAAAACTTTTTTTTGGATACATTTGTCCAACATAGTGAGACCAGTTTAGATGTTGGGTGTTTTCATAATAAGACATATACTGGGTTTTACACTAATTTTAGAAGCCTTGTGCCTGAATTCATCAAATGTTAATGTCTAAGAGTCCTTTATTTCACTAGTAATTTTTTTTTGTTTTAACTAGATGTTAGACATGTATTTCAGAAAAATGATTTTCCTCTTGATTTCACCAATAATTATATAAGAAAGAATCTGATAAACTTTTAAACAAACAAAATTCTATAATTTCTTCTACTGCAGGAAAATTCACCATGGTCATAGTTTTGCCTTACTTTGTTAAAATACCTTTATTTTTAAGATACCAACTTCTGAGAAGAGCCTCTCCACAAATTATTCTCAGAATTATCATTTTTGTCCTTTTAAAGATAAAATTCCCAAACTAATGAAGTCACTAACTGTTTACAAGTATACCTGTTCTTTGTGATTGGAAGGCTACATCAGTCCATTACCCAATGCTTACATCAAATAATTAGTGAATACCCATGACCTGCTCTGTATAACAACATATAAGTCCTAGCACATGTGTAAAATGGGTGTGATATTCTCTTTGAAAAATAATATTTCATATTCCTTATTTAGTTTCTAGTGAAAAAGCTTGTGTATCGAAGAATTTTATACCATCAAGACAGTTAACCCAACTGTTAATGACCAAGATTCTTCATTTAAGTGGACAATACTAATAATTTAATGCTAAGATATTGATAATTGAATCAATTGATATTCTTAGAAAACTCCTTGTGGACAAAAAAATTTTTAAATAACAAAATAATGTTAAAAAATGATAATTCAAGCTGAGAAGTCTATCAGTAAATAATTGTAGAATAAGTATATGTCATTAGAAAATCAAACTTTGAAATGAAATTAAAAACAGTTTTTGTGATTGGCAAGAACAACTTAAGGTATCGTATAAGAAGTGACAAGTTATGTATCATAAGTAAACTGTGAAGAAATATAATACATGGAGTAGTACAGTTTAAAAAGTGAAACTGAAATATGATAGTAATAACACTTAAAATCACCTATTTTTGTTGAAATTATGTTTATGAATTGTTCTAGAATTTTTTTTTACCCTGTCTCTCTCTTTCTCATTACAGCCTGTACTCCTCACTAGAAACACTAACAGAACCTCATCGATTGACTGCTACAATGCAGTGTATTGTGTCTGTTGCTAGAGCTTTAGTACAAGGGTCTAATCGGTTTCCTGAAGGTCCATCCCATGTGGTTCCTTTACTGATGGGATCTTTACCAGGTATAGACCCAAATGACATCAGAAAGTGTATGGTGAGTTAAATAACTGTTTCCAATTGATTTAAAAAAATAAAAATATTTATAAAATCCTCATATACCATGCAGTTTGTGATATTAAGATAGAAGAGTGTTAATGACTAAAATTTTCAAACATTTGTAGCCTTCTAGTGTGTTTGCAGATGAAGGTGAGCAGCAAGGAGAGAAATGACCAGTTAGAAGGATAAAATAATATAAACCAATTACCTGTTTATTACGTTTGGAGGGACAAAACATAAAGTATTACAAATATGTACTCGTTACAGTTGTTGCAGAAAAATATAGGAATGTGAAGGAACACTGGATTTAGCAGATATAGTGTGATTTACATATTATTACATTATTTTTACTTTCACTAATAAGTTCTTATAATTAAATTTTACTTGAACTAGCCAAGTGAAGCATGGCAAAAAAAAATTTTTATCTTGCAGAAATGAGTTGAATATTCTTCTGTTCAAAACTATGATCGTACTTCTATCAACTGCATTATTTTGATTTAAGTGATAAATAAAACATTAATGTACTGCATTGCAACATATTGTGTTAGAGAATCTCACTTTTAATAGGTGTAATATGATGCATTATAAAATGAAGCTTTATCTTTGTTGATTAACTCTTTAAAACCCAGGCTCGGTACGTGGGACCAACTTCATAACCATTTTGTGCTTGTTATAGTTTTCAT